CGGCTGGAGGGCTAGAGTGAGCAGAGGCGGCGGGCTTGAGAACGGCGCGGCCGGCGATTTCGACGAAGGAGTGTCCGGAAGGACGTGTGATGACTCCGGGCTGGACTCCGCTTCATCCACGGTGAAAGCCGATCCGGCGATCCACAGCGCAAAGTTGTAGTATTTCCTCAGCAACCAGCACGGATCATCATCAGATATCATCATCTTTTGGAAGACCAAACAAAGTAGTTTCGCTTTCACAACGCAGCACACAGCATCTTTACGACATGGTGGCGGCAACAACAAAACTACAGCGAGAATAAAAGTTACGCCTTCTTTCTTTGCGTGAACATTTGGGTGGCGTTATGCAAATCTTCCCACATAGCGACGTAGACATGCTGTATGCCAGTGCCGGATGAATGCCAGCTGTTCCAGGTGCATGCCAAATCTAGGCCAAATTTGTTTGCTGACTGGGCGCCTGTTGGACGAGCCGGCACTGGTAGCGAGTTCTAAAGGTTTCATATTTATTACATTATTTATTGTAGTTTCTATTTTGTATTATTTTTATTTTATTTTTGTTTTATTATTATATTATTTTATTATTATTTTATTTTTGTTTTATTATTATATTATTATTTTATTTATTTTTATTTATAATATTATATATATATATATATACTATTATAACTACCATATACTACCATAGTACTTATAATGCATAACTAACTCAAGTTCACCTCTCAAAAGTAGTCCTGCTGTTAAAAAGACAATTTTTCATCTCAAATAGCTTTTGCAAATGTCACAGATGCTGGTGATAGTGCTAAACTTAACCAAGAATATTCTTTTAATTAGGAAGGTCAGACTCCCCCAAACCCACCCATCATCCCACCCGGATTGGATCGTTCTATTTGTTCATAAGTGAAGGCAATCATGTGTTGGTGGAGCATCGTTCTGTGTACATGTGTCATTTAGCTGGGTGTTGACGGGTTGATGTATTTTTGTTTGGCTGTGAATTTGGTGTTGATGTTTTTTGGTGGAGTGTGTAAGTATTTTGGTTGTGTGGGTGTGGATGTGGATGTGGAGTCACAGGACAAGTGTGTGCATGTGTGCGTGTTTGAGGGTCTGTGCTTGTACACTTCTTTCCTTTTTCCATCCTAATTTTCAAAACACCTCATCTGTTCACACTCTCTTTGGGAACTGAATGCGGGATGATTCGTCAATGAATCATTCTTAATTTCTTATAAAAAGATTCTTGATTCAGTTGAACTAATGACACTCATTTTAATCTGTCGACATTTAGCAAAGTGCAAGCAACCAGCCAGAACACTGTCTAGTAAACTGGAAAATGCAGTGAGCCAGATTCAAACTGCTATTGCCTGCATGAGTACCAAAGCTCATTGTGTCAGAGAAAATGCACTAACTGCTAGGCAATGGTTCAGACTTAATACATAGATGTCAAGTTTGACTCAGTGGACTTTGCAGGTTCCTCTGTGTGTGTGTGTGTGTGTGTGTGTGTGTGTGTGTGTGTGTGTGTGTGTGTGTGTGTGTGTGTGGTGATGGAAAGAGAGCCATCTGTTGGATTTGCCCCACTGCTGGCCAGGAAGCAGTTTCAATCTGTTGACCCATGTTTGTTCTGAACTTTGTCCCGTTCCTCATCTGTGTGTTTGGTGCCAGCTGGCTGTCAGCTCATTTGATGGTGATTCTAAGCGTGCGGATACACTGAGGTGTGTGATTGAAATAGATCGGCATTCATCTTATCAACATGCAGCCAATAAAATGGCGAACAACAATTAGGCAGCTGCAGACTGCTGTTTGTTTTTAAATGAAAACAGTCAGGGATATGAAATCTGTCTTCATTTTAGAAACCCAAAAGAGTTTCTTTCTAAGCTCAGGAAACAAGTTCTCGATTAAGTAAATAGGGAGAATTTTGATTAGAAATTTTGGAGCTCATAATGAAATGAATTGCAGACTTTTGATATTTGACTACACCTGAATTCCTTTCATCCAATTATTATTATTATTATGTTATTTAACCCTCTACCGCATGGTGTAGCCATATGGCAACATACTCTTTGTGTTAATTTCCTTGCCTCTGTCTCTTTAAGAGAACATTCTCATTTTTTTGTTGGAAAGAGAAGACCTTAGTTTAGCCAATGATGTGATTTGATTAAGTCACATGACATGCAGTTTTTTTTCTGTAGCGAGATTTCTGACAGACTGCCGTCTCTTGTCGGTACTTGCTGAAAGCAAACTAAAACGTCAGTAACAAACAAGGATCAGTCCGTGTCACTTCTACAAAAAAATATAAAACATCACTGTTATGATGTTATGATGACATATTCACCTCTCAAAAAAGTTTTTATAAAATTCGTTTTTGGTAAATCATTCAAATGTATGTGTTGCCAAGCGGCAACACTGTGCAATAGTGGAATGACATTATTACAATAGTTTAGCTAGCTAGCAAGGTCAGCTGCAATTTGTTAAGCTGTAACAATAACAACATTAATACTAGTGAAATAATGTTGATTAGTCGTATGTTAATGGTATTTGTATTATGGATATAATCAAATTGAAATGGCAATTTTACTTTTGATTAAATATGAATACAGGTAACATTACATCAGTGAGCACGGCCATATTCTATGGCAAGGTAAAGAAGAAAAGGGCACAAAAAGTGGTTGGAGACTTTGTTTTGAGGTCTCTTCTGAAATGTATGAAATTATTAAAGTCTTTTACACAGGAAAATCTGAGAAGCAGAAGACTTTGGCAAAAATCTCTATGTGCCATGGAGAAGCATTTGAGAAATGAAAGAGATCTGGTTTGTGATTTCTCTTTCCTCTGGGTCTCTTTCTCCGTGTCCTGCTCCTGTGCCAGACACATCTGTAAGTCTCCCTTGATTGTTAGACAGACTCAAGGTCCAGCCGTATTGTGACTGTAGTCATTTTAAAAATGAATAAATGAGCATTGAGAGGATCTCATCCATTAGGAGGAGCAATTTGTCAACATGGCCCAGTCTCTCGGGACTCGTCGGAGGAAGACAATGTGGGAAAGGAGAGAGCTTGTCCCTGTTTGTGATTATCAGATGAGCTCTGAGTCCTGGAGCCTCTTCAGCCCAGTATCTGGGTCAGGCAGGAAGAATGTCTGAGGGTGGAATGACATCTCTCTCTTTCTCTCGGTCCCTCTACACCTTCTCCAATTTGAGCCATGAAATTCCCACAAAAATATATGATAACTCAAGAATGGTCTCGCTTGCTCTCCCTCATTTGGCCTATTTTTCTCTCTCGGCTTTTCTCATATATTTCTGCATGTATTGTTTCTCTCGTAATCTCTTTTGTATGCCTGCTGCCGGCTCTCTGTTTTGCTGCCGAACTTGTGGTGTCCAGAAACTCTGAGAACTTCATATATTATGTGTGAGACTGACATTTTCTGAAGGAGGAGGAAGACAAATAGACTAGAAAATGATTGAGAGATCTATCTATCTATCTATCTATCTATCTATCTATCTATCTATCTATCTATCTATCTATCTATCTATCTATCTATCTATCTATCTATCTATCTGCAGTATCTCTTGTTCATGTACCATGGTATTTCCATTGTCTTACCATGGTATATGTCTGTAAAACTATGGTAACCATGATACATATTCAAATATAATGCTTTTTAGTACTGTTTTTGGGATGGCAATACATCTTTCTATCCATCCATCCATCCAATTTGCAGTATCTATTGTTCATGTACCATGGTATTTCCATGGTCTTACCATGGTATATGTCTGTAAAACTATGGTAACATGATACATGTTCAAATATCATGCTTTTTAGTACTGTTTTTGGGATGGCAATAAAATGCAATTAAATATACTTTTCTATGGAAATTTGTTGTAGTACACATACACCAAATACTGTTGTTCTGCTTCGAATTATTATAAATGACACAAAATATGTATAAATTAGGCATTAAATTATATTCTGCTTCACACTATATAAATAGAGCAATAAATAATAAAAACATGAGATTATTAAGCAATAAATTAACATAAAAATGTATAAAACAGTTGTATTCCAAATTATGCACTATACAGTTATACACTGTACTTATACACTATGATGTAGTCAAATGTGTAGTGAATGAATATTATACGATTATTTTGTTATTTGTTGTACGTTGCACAACGTTGTAGTCTAATAGCTCCCTCCCATCCTTTACATAATTAAAGATGCAACAGTTTAGAACAAGAAGTGTTCAACATTCGATACATGGTTGTTGTTGTTGTTTTTGTTTTTTGATTAATTAAGTGCATCATCCAGGTATTTAAAGTGCATTTCTGTTTATAATTTTCAGTGTAAGCGAACTACTTGAACTATTTATACTACAAAACAGCATTGAATAGTGCATTAATATGCAAATTGGGACACACCTATTATGAAAGATTAAATAGCTGAGGTGTGATGAAGTTGTGTGTGTGTGTACGTCCTCCAGGTAAACCTGCGTACCTTCACATCGGAGAGGAGGTGGACGGTGTGGACATGCGGGCAGAGGTCGGACTGCTGACTCGCAACATTTTGATCAGAGGCGAGATGGAGCCGACCTGTTACGGCAATGAAGCCTGCAAGTTCTTCTCATTCGACACGTTTGGTGGCCATCTTAAGGTAACTCGACCCTCCTTTCACTTCAAACACACATTTCTCTTTTAAGTACCATCTACCGTTGTCTTGTAATTCCTTTATCTGTCCACTAGCTCATCCGAACATAGTTGTTCACACCCTCAGAATGATATCACAGCGATGGCACCTCTAGCTAGACATTAACACTCTGTCAAACTAGCAGAACGGACATTTTATTTTTGCTTTGTCTCCTGCGAAGGGCCTGTCAGTGTGCGTGTGTGTGTGTACGTGATGGGGCGACTCAAGAGTCTGACCTCTCTAGTAATTGGCCCAGATCTGACTGTTCCTTTTCCCCTCCTCACCTTCGCTGTCATGCAGAAGGTTGGCCCGTTGTTTCCACTCAAGAAGAAATTTCCATGTGTAACAACTAGGCCATCCTGTCTTTCAAGTTGTGAGGAAACTGCTTTTGACAAATCCTGCCTCACAGTAATGATTTTACAAGTGATAAATGTTAAAATAAGTAAATTGATGTAATTCTTGCTAATAAAGTATAGTAGCCCAAAAATATAAATTCTGTCATCGTTTACTAAACCTCACATCCTTCCAAATCCAAATGGCCCTCAACAGTGTACTTGTATTAGCATGTATTACTTAAATAATTACTGCTAGGATATTTCATTTCACAGACTATTTTGAAGTCTTTGAGGCATTGTGTTTTTGTTTTTGTTCATGTTTATTGTTTGTTTTTAGTCTAGTTATTAGAACGATTAATCAACGAATCGCAGATTATTTTACAGATTAATCAGTAGGCATTGATCGATTATTCAGCTTTTGTAATTCATTAAAATATTGAGTTATACATATTATATCTGATAAATGACTAAATAAATATTCTAAACATTTTAATATACATATAAAGCTGGTTTAAAGCAGAAAATCAAGTTGTAATTTCAAATTAAATGACACTAACACTGTTTTTCATGTTTAATAAAGTAAAACTGTGTGCTTTAAAGTAGTCTATTGTATAACGCACCATATGAATAGATGCTACGTGAATTTACTGGATTGCCGATTGCAGTGCAACATCGCTATGATCAGATGCTTTCTTAACTGCTGTTTTCTCACTGCTGTCATGTTTATGTGTTTATTTTGCTATTGAGAGAAAAGCACACATACATCTAAATGCCGCTCTCAGCAGCGTCGGGATGTTGACTAACAGTAAACCGCTGCTTGCTTATTTCGAACTTCTTTTTTCCCCTAAACCAGGGGTGTCAAACTCATTTTCACTGAGGGCCACTTCAACATTATTGCTGCCATCAAAGGGCCGGTTGTAACTGCAAGACTGTACACATGTTACTAACATATTGCTAAATAACTGTCTCTTTATTTTATTATTACTTATTTAAGTTACAAATATTGCATGCATTTGCATAGATGTAATATATGTAATTGCTCTGTTATTTGAACATAAATCCTTTTAATTGATCAGGTTAAGAAATCCAAATTAATTTATAAATCAAAGTAAATAATAAAGTGTCATCAAACACAAGTCATTATATTAACTTTGTTACATTTATGGCACAACAAATAATTGTGAGCTGCTAAGAACGTGTGACAGATATGGCATGAGTCCGGTCTCATGAAAATGCGTATCAATAGCACGATTTTCTGTTTCTATTTGGCATGCGATTTATATGCAGAAATTTACTTTGGCGTGCATATGATATGCACGTGTTTGGTGTGGATATGATATGCAATCAATGCTTGTAGTAGAAAAAAAATAAGTGGTGGTACTCAACCCCACTCCCAAATGTCAAATGTAGAGAGCGCATTTTGGTTTTGTGCGAGAGCAAAGGAAATTAATGTGCTGTCGCACTACAATTATGTGCTCTCGACATTTGTCATTAAAATAACGCCATAAATAGGCTACAGATTTACATTCGTTGACATATATGTGCCAATTTTCTGCCGGTGGATCCCCACACTCTAGGTTGCGTTTATTAAACTCAGGAGAGAAGATTTTTGAGCGCACACATGTAATGTCTGAGAAGAAAGTCGTGTCTGAAAGCTGCAATCATTTTTTTTTTAATTTGTTAAATGAAAGGAGAATATCGTGTTTTACGGTGGTGCTCGAGCACTTGATGAGGTCCGCTTTATTCCTTTGAGCCCTAAGTCATCATCAACTGAAAAACCCCACACCCTTAATCCTAACCATTGCATATCATATGCACACCAAAGTCAATTTCTGCGTGTAAATAGAACGCCAAATAGAAACAGAAACTTGTGGTATTGGTACGCACTTTCATAATTTACAATATAAAGCTGCATAGATTTTTATTTTAAGACAATCATATGCTCTCGCGGGCCACATAAAATTATGTGGCGGGCCGGAATAGGCCCGCAGGCCTTGAGTTTGACACGTGTGCCCTAAACGAAGAACTAAAAAAAACTTCGCCATGAGTGTTTTGGGGCCTTCACACGACAGCATTTTCTGTTTGTAGTTTTGTAAAACTTTCCCAAACTATTTTTTCAAGTTTATTTGTATAGCGCTTTTCACGATACAAATCGTTGCAAAGCAACTTTACAGAAAATTAAGTTTCTACAATATTTAGTGGTAGCTTATCAGTGGTGACTGTCAGTTAATGTACATATGGCAGAAATGTACGTAAAATCAATTAAAGACGTAATCAAACTGACGATGAACACTATTAACAGCAATTATTATATGATGCAATCAAACTTATAGCAAAATGTGGTAGTTCTGTATGTTGTTTCAAGGTTGGCATAATCTGAGGTCCTCTGAGGGGTTGGCATCCCCCTTGTCCAAATACCCACACTTGAGAGCATGTGCGCGCGACAGGAAGTAAGTGCGCAAGACTGTCCCAGGTCTTAAAAACGCCAGAGCGCAGTGCCCTTAAAGCAAACTAAATCCGCTCCGGAGCGCTATTCGAGGCTTAGTGTATCCCATCATGCGTCATGTTCTGGAGATAAATCGTGAGACTTTTTGCCGAGATCTCGCGAGAGGTCACGGAAACCTTTCCAATGCAAGTTAAATATTAATATAATAATTAGATATTACATATAATTTGGTAGAAAAACTGTGTTTTTACGTTTTATTGGTGCAAAGATGAGTAGTGGTGATATTTATTTTGTACAAACATTTGCAACTGCTTTTTATCACTTAATTAGAAGCACCACAAATTAAAATGGTCATGTTATAGGGACTACTGAACAGACATTTAGAAGTTGATTTTAAAATGCAAAGTATTTAAAATTAAAATAAAGCTATGTAAACACTTGCATTTTTACAACACTACAAATGTGTCCCATCAGGTAATGAAAAGTTTGACACACACTTGTGGTCTTCATCCTCACTTGAACATTTGGGCCACATTCAGGAAATACGTCATATAAGTAGTCAAGTGCAAAGACCAAAAATGTGGGTATTTGGACAAGGCTATCATCGCTTCTCAACTCTTCTTCTTCTTTTGGTTTTAATGATGGCTAACAAACCAACTTAAAGGAGCATTACCATCACCTACTGGACTGGAGAGTGGACAGAAGATTGGCAGGGGAAAAAAAGCCCACACACTCAATTCTCTCAATTAATTTATTAGGAGACCACAAACTTTCTCAGATGTTTTCCCAAGCAAATTCTCTAGTGTAAAAATCTCAAGTTCTCAAATGTTTTGTTTTCCAATTTGCATCTCTAACTTTATTCTACGGTACAATTTTACCATTTCTTGTGCATTGCAGCAGGTGTGAAGTCCAGTTTTCCTATTCTATGTAATGTTAGATTTAATACAGCATGGCTTATTCTAAGATATTTTTGGGTTCCTGTCCTGCCTCATACTCATGCCTACATGTTTTTGTATACTGTATAGATGTTGCCCTGTGTCGTCTATGTCCCAATATTCCTACCATATTTTGTGCGTATGATCCTTTATAATAGTTTTATTCTCTGCTCTACTTAACGGTACTTGTATATCAACTATTTCATGTTTTATTATTCCTTTTGCCAAAAGATCCACAGTCATTTCTTTCCACCCCTTCTTGGAACTTTTCCCAAACTCTACTGGTTTGGCTTTGTTTGTACTATGACATAGCGCTGTGTCTTCTTAATTGGACTGCATGTGGGAAAGCTGAATCACAGTCTTGCTCTACTGCACCACACAGGACAAACCGCATTATTGCAGTCCCTTACATTAGGTTATATGAGATCAAACGACTCTTTGACAACAAAAATATTGGTGACGGGCTCATAAATGGTTTAATTATTTGGTTGGCATGAGTACAGTAATTCAATGAGAGTTGTATCCGTGTTTGGGTCATCATGTCAGTCAAAAATGCTCTTTACTCACACACCCATTTGAAAACATACTCGGCCTGCTTGTTTAGAGCAATGAACCCACTGACACACTTAACACCCGACCGGATGATTTGGGCTTGTGTTAATGGTTTTCAACCACAGGGGAGGTCATAAAAACCGCCTTCCGAGACCATACTGTCACATTCTTATGATATTTGCCAGGCAGCTAATCTAATTTATGAAACATTTAGAGAAATGTCAGGCCGGGGTGAAACCGTACATTTGGCCGTCCAAAGAAGATGAAAGACATTAATTGGAGCCAAAGTGTGCCACCTTCCCCTGGGAAACGTCAAATCATCTTACTTTCACTCACATTCTTCTGCATCACGCAGATATGACGTGCAACATATTTCACGTCCTTTGACTTGAAACGATCTGATGTAGGTCACAAAAAAGGCAGCCGTGAAATCCGAAAGTGAACATTCTGCCAGATGTGCGAGAACGAGAGAAGAGTGGAAATCAATCTAACTGACACCTTTACTTCCCACCCCTGCATATATTCACACACAGACTGACGTGTATGTCTCAAATCTTATTCTGAAGGGGTGATGATATTTACATTCCTCACTTTTGAAGTTCTTTCATCTAGATTCTCGAGTTTCAGATTTCGAATTTCCATATTTAAGGAGCACAACTTGCATAGACCCTGTGACCACTTGTGATCGGATCACTCAACTAGGATATTAATACAAAGTTAATAGAATGGAATCTTTTTTTTTTGTTTCAGGGATTCCAAAACTTTTTTTGTCAGTCGAACCCCTTTGACTTAAAATATTTACTTGAAACTCTGAAAAAAGTTGGCGTCGAAACAATTTTCACTCAGAAATTGCTAGTAAATTTCAGAATTAATTACAAAGAAATGCTAAGTAAGACACTGAATTAAACATGACATTTTTAAGTAGAAAGACTGAAATAGTTTTCTTGTAAAACTTACTTCAGTGATTTTTATTTAATTTACAACTTTGAAAAATTATTTTTTACAGTGAAGTACTTTTTTATGATTTTAAATTCATGTTTCAATAATTCAACAACACACTTGCATATTCAAGTTTTTCTGAGGTCAGTTAATGGTCGCATATATGGAAGCATGTTTCCGCCACAGAATAAAAAAAGGTAGTTGCAACTTTTTAACTCAAAATTCAGACTTTTTTTCTTTCAATTCTGCTTTGCTTTCTCGCAAATTCTGATTTCACATTTCGCAATTCTGACATTTTTATTCTGAGTTTACATTTTGTAATTCTGACTTTTTTTCTCAGAATTCTGAGAATGCATCTCACAGTTAATCTTGCAATCCCCCCCCCCCCCCCCCCCCCCCTTTTCTCCACCTCACTAAAAAAAAAAATTGAAAATGTTT